CTGATTCCTAACGAAAAACTAAAATGACTCCAAACAGTTATGTTACGTAACATATATAAGAATACCTTTGAAATTTGAATATGGCTTCCTGAAGGTAAGAGGGCTTACGCAATAGAAACAAGGTCACACACACACACACACACACATATATATATATATATATATATATATATATATATATATACACACATTATTTAGTACTCTAGGTTGAAGAAACATCAGTTGGCTACCCCTGTGATCTAGCAAGGGAAGGCAAAGAAGAAAGAAGATCCGTTCTATTTTGCTAGACAGCTTATTGAATCCTCATAAAGTGAGTAAAGGAGACGATTTTAAGCTAATGGTACAACATAACGAATTGAACCTCATAATTTGTTTTAATGCTGCACAAACAATCTTAGTTTGCTTCAATACCACAAGCAAATACACGCAGATAGCAGAAGAGTAATATGTAGACCCACATATTCATCCGTCCTCCTCACCTCACTCACCCATCAATTCAGCTCCACCCCTCATGATCACTGTTTTTCTTTAAACAAAAGAATGTCTCGTGTGGATATTCAAACCTCTATCCACAAACCTGCTGCTGTTCATTAAAGCGACTTTTCCGTATCTGTCTATTTCTCTTTCTTTTGTTCTCTTTTCTTTTTCTTTCTCGCTTTTTTTTCTTTCTTTCTTTCTCTCTTTCTTTTTTCTGTCTGTCTGTCTTTCTTTCTTTCTTTTCTTTTTTTTTCTTTTTTCTTTCTTTCTTTTTCTTTTTTCTTTCTTTCTTTTTTTCTTTGTTTCTTTGTTTCTTTCTTTGTTTCATTCATTCTTTCTCCCCCCCACCCCCACTTTGGAATGTCTTCTTTACTAAAGCTGCAAATTTAAATGATGAGGTTTCAAAAGGGCGCTTGTGTCCACTGGAGAATAGCTTCATTAGAAGAAAGCATATCGTTGGCAAGCCCTGCAACTCTCCTCAGCACAAAAAAGCAGAATAATAGAGAAGAGAGAAGAAGGGGTGGGGGGATTCATTCTTTTACCGAGTGTACACTTTTAAGCATTTGTTCTTGCTTTTTTTGTTGGGGATCAGTTGGAATTTGAATTTTAACAAAATATTTTTCGAGAACAAAAAAGCAACAGGTGCCTTAATTTATTTTTTTAACTGCAGTCTTTTTTAAAATCTAAATTTTGGGCTTTATATACACGATGTGACAATTGGCAAACGTTCCACCACGTAAAAGAAATGTCCCAATAATCTAGATCTATACACAAACTGAGTCCTGGATACCCTTAAGTCGCCAGCTCGGATTTGAACCCCAACTTTGCGTTATTCAAGTATGAGAATTATAATTATTGTAACAGAGTTCTCCGCAGCAGGTGCTTTTTCTCACGCTCAGCTTTAAACAACGGCTGACAGGCTAAGACGACCTTCTTAAATGGGACTAACTCTTTCGACCTTCTTAAGCTGCGTTAATCGATAAATCAATAAACCGGAATCAATTTGTTTTGAAAACCCACATTTGGCCGCTGCAGGTCTTATGTAGAGCCCATATAGTCGGCGCGACACTACGGAGAGGGGAGGGAGATGGTGGACAAAGTAATAATATTATGTGCTGGAATGCGTCGGTTTGCGAGGGTTTTTTTGTGTTGTTGTTTTTTTGGTAGAAATGTCTGTGCAGGTGTGTGAATATTATGTGTGTATTTTTTTAGAGTGTGTCTGAGTGTATGTCTGTGTGTGTGTGTGTGTGTATGTGAGAGAGAGAGAGAGA